CACGTGTTTTATGGACGGCCCCGCAGCTGGTGTAGAAGAATCCCTTCCAACGGTGTGGCGTGGGCGCTGGCTAGGGATGTTCGTGTCGGGCTAAAACGGGTTGGGGGGGGGGCGTGAGTGTTGAATCAAGTGTTAAGTCCCACGCCGCCCAGGAGCGCTCCAACATCACGTCACGTCTTTGGCCAGCCGTCGGTGGTATTGTATTTCCATTTCCGTACTTTCTATTTGCCTTGGGCATCCACCGACGGACGCACTCTTTTCAATTTGCACTTCGTTTCTTTCGCGTGTATGTGTAAAAACGTATCAGAACGCGCCCCTATATCCTGCAAGAAAGATTTTGTGTACGTTCGTGTGGCAGGGAGTAGCGACGTGTTTCTGCGCGACTGTATTGCTGCCGCCTGCACAACAGCGGCATCACCACGGTGCACGGGGATTTTCAGGCGATTTCAGTGGCGGTGATCAGCCTGGGTAGGGTGGGGCATTGGGGGGAGGGGGGGAGGGGGACAGCAGAACAAGGCACGACGTTACGTGGAGTGCATACGAGAGTCGGGCCGCCGGACCGCCCTCTGGCCTCCTCGAGGACATGGGATAAAAGGGAACGGAAAAGAGAGAAAGGAGGGGAAAAGGGTTGGGGGGGGGGGGGGGGGGGGGAGGGTGTCCGCCTGGGTAACGAGCAGCGCTGCCCCCGCCTACACCTCAGCCCCCGGCCTGGCCGGACATCGCCCAAGCTAAGGGGGTGTGCCGGGTTGTTCCTTTGATGTACTTGTAAATAACTGTGAATTTGAACCCTTTGCCGGCCTTGACTTGACCTTTTGTCGCCCTCTTGTTCGCAGGCAAGCCTCAGCCTCGCGTTCGCTGGCTCGTCAACGACTCTGTGGTGGACGACGTTTCGGAGTCGAACGCGGGTGACGTGATCGAGAACCACTATACGCGTCACAACGTGTCGCGAGATGACCTCAATGCCGTGCTCATCTGCCAGGCTGTCAACACAAACCTGACGGAGCCGCGGCAGGCCGCGCTGCGCCTCGAGCTCAACCGTAAGTACGCCTAGGTGCGCGCCGATGTCCTGTCGTGGCCGTAGAGTTCTCACGACGGCTGCGAGTGTTTCTTTGTGCATGAAGGTAAACTCCCCACCCTCCTCAGAGTTACAGAGTAAACAGCGGGGAATCATTTCACAATCTGCTTGGGCCGTTCACAGCTCTCTGCAGCAACGCCCCGCCCCCGTTCTTGGAGATTTTGTTTCCGTCTACTTTCTTTGCCGTGTTTCCTGCCCCCTCCTCTCGCCCCGACATGGCTCCATATTGATTCTAAGTGAAAAACTTGGCTGAGCAATGGTTTTGTTTGTGTTTGGCGGCAGCGGCCTCGTTCCCGGCAGTCGCGGCGGCCGCATGCCCGGACCGGCAAATTGAAATCGAATAACGTTTCGCTGAAAAATGTCCGTATGTGCCATATACACAGTTAATTAGGAGTCTGTGGCTTTTGGCGCAGTCCTCAGAAAGTTGTGAACATCCTAAACCCCAGCTCGTCTATTCCACCATCCAAAGACAAGTGAAAGCTAAAGCATCAAAAGGATGGCTGTTTAAACTGTTACCTCCTGCGCCCGCCCGCTTATTGGTTGTCCGCCACACCAACGTCATCGTCGGCCATCAGCATTCAGAAGGAAACAGATGTAGGAGTCATTCTTTTCTTCTTTAGGTTGACTTGCAGCGGAATGATAGGGTATTGCGGGTACACGCTGGCCGCCGGAAACGAAAGGCGAAGAAAATGGCTGTGATCCGTTCTCAGTCTCCTGGCATCTGCATTCGTGCGTCTGCAGTCCACCGCTCTGTCACGCTTGCTTTACAGCGACGCTACCTTGCTTCAGATTATTACGATTGCGTGTTGTTATGCCAGCAAAAGTTATTTTGAATAGTTTTCTTTTTAAAAATCGAGATATAAATCTGGACCACCACCAAACCTATCGCCATAGCGACAATTGTCAGCATACGCGTGGATCTAGTAGCCATATAAGGCTGAGATTCGGCCACCATATTTCTTACTGCATCTGGTCGTATCTGGTCGACGACTGAATGAGGCAGTGTATTCATCTGTAATAGCAACCCGTCCATTCTATTCTAGTCTGTTTCTCACACGTTTTGTTCAACCCTTTGTTGCAGTGGCGCCGCTCACGGCCCAGATTACCTCAAAGCAGCAACCGCTGGCCGCCGACCGCGAGTACAAGGTGTCCTGCGAGTCTGCAGGCTCTCGGCCACCTGCCATCATAACCTGGTACAAGGGCGAGCACCCCCTCATCAAGCGCACCAGCGTGAGTACAGTCCGACCCTATTCGAATAAGAAATGTCTTACCTTATGCATACCAGGTGGCTGGTACACGATTTTGCCGCCCAGCTCTTTCTTGCCAAGGAATTATTAACTGTACCGGTGGGTCGCCCTTAGTCAATCCACCAGCACTCGGACGCGTGCGTTACAGTCCACACTGATAAATTAAGTGAGGAACTTGCGTCTGTCGTGCGCATGCATGCTCAACTCTACTTTTCACATTCTTAAGTGTTTGACAGGCAATTTAAATACTGAAAAGTATTCAATACTTTGTGCGATGGACTTAAGCTATATGTCAGTTGCACGCTAGTGTGCACACTTTTAATTCCAATCGAAGTATACAGCAAAGTGGGTGTGGCCTATCAGTCATTTATTGACTGCAAAGAATTAACATTCGTTAAAAATGAGATGAAAAAAACTATTCAGAGGTAGAAAGATGCCTTCCCTTTCTCGTGCGCACCGGTGTTGTCTTTCCTTCTTACACCTTTATTTTTCGTGGTCCTTCGTCCTTACAAAGTTTCTCTTCTCTGTTGACTCACTCCGCCCTCTCTTCCCGCCCACCCGGTTCGATCGGTGTAAAAGTCTGGTCGGTCTGACACCGTCGCCTCCCATGTCGCACATCTACGTGAGCACAGGGGCGCGGGGGTGGGGGTGCGTAGGAAGGCGCGCACTGAAAGTACCCGCGCCCGTAGCGCCGCCGTCTCGCTGGAACTGCCCTCGCCTTTGCCCCGCTGCTGCCTGCAAAGTTTGCTCTTTTGCAGGCTCCTTAATTTGTTTTACTCTTAGTAATGGCATTAGCTTGAGAGATGTTGTCCCCGTTTCATTTGAGCAAGGAATTGTGATCGTCTGCTTGGCGGGCCCTCGGCCGGCCGGGCCTTTGTGTGTCCTTGGCTTGCCTTTGGGGCCCCTGCCCTGGCCCTCTGGTCCCCGGCCTGACAGGCCAGATTACAAGGTGGAACATGGTGAAAGTAGCGGGACAAGCGCGGCCAAATATTTACTCCAAGTGTCTCCCACAAATCGCATCTGTATTGTTCTGCTTTTATACTTTCTATCGAGAACAAGCTAATAGTATTCTAATTACTTTCTCTCTGCTGCTGGTGGCAAAAAGAGAGCGTGGCGTGGCGTTGGGAGTTGAGTTTCAGAGGAGTTGCTGCCTGTTTTTGTTGCTTCTTTCCTCGATTTGCTCGCTCGTGCGTTCCCCTCCCCCACTTTTATCCGATATCACTTTGAATTAAGCCTTTTGTCCCCCCGCGCAGTTGCGCCCCGCGAGGGAAACAAATCGGATCCGCCCCAAGACCGATGACTGATCGATGGATGACATTGCCATGGATTTTTTTCCCCACGTCCTCTTCATGCCCCCTCTTTTTTACCAATATAGACCTCTCCTGCAGTCCAGTCTGCGCCGGGTTGGGCCCGGACGGGGCTCAGTTAGCAGGGGCCCTCCTGGAGCTCGGCTGGAGCCTGTCTGGAGCCTGGCTCGAAGTCGACTGGAACCTGACTTGAGCCCGGTGGGAGCTGGGCGAGGGGTGGATAACTCCTGAATTGGGTGTACAAATTTCAAGAATTGAACTTGAATTAGCTTGAATTGGCTTGAATTGAATTGAATTGACTGAACATTGTCTTGAATTGGACTGAATTAGTTGAATTAGTTTTGAATTTGTTTGAATTAAATTGAATTGGTCTGAATTAGTTTGAATTGGGCAGAATTAGGGGTGTACACTTGGCAGGGGAGTTATCCACCCCTCGGAGCTGGGCTGGAACCCGACTGGAGTCCAGTTGGAGTCCGACCTGAAGCCGACTGGAACCTGGCTTTGCGCCCGGCGGGAGTTCGGCTGGATTCCTGCGGATTCCGGCTTTAGTCAGGCTGGATCGCCCAGCTGGAGCCTGGCTGGCTGGAGCTTGGTTATTAGGGTGGAGCGAAAATCTGGGATCTTAGAATTCGACATGGATTATTGTACTTCAAGGTATCCTAAGACTAGCTGCAGGGTCGATTTGGAATTATCGGAGGCCCTTAGGCTCCTGCAAAGGGCCTAAAGTTAGGTCTGCAGGGCTAAAACACCACTTTTTGACCTCCAGGGGTTAGTCTAGGGGTCATCCGGGAAACGGCTATCTCTTTAAAGGTGCGGAATACATCCAAGGAAGTACCCACGAAGTTTAAACCCGCTTCGCCATCGTCTTCAGCCTGGCCTTTCGACTTTTGATGTCCAAAAACAGCCTAAAATTGCGATTTTTGACCCTATCTCCCAAACTGTGGTCGAACGGATATGACAACAGAAGATGTTCCCGATGCATCTCGACAAGACAAGACGATTTCATTTTATTATTTTTTCTGTTAGACCGATGGTTCTGAAGATATAAGCGAAAAACACTTTTTCAGGTAATGTAAAAGAGCGTTTTTTGGACACAAAAGTCGAAAGGCCAGGCTGAAGACGATGACGCAGCGGGTTCAAACTTCGTGGGTACTTACTTGGATGTATTCCGCACCTTTTAAGAGATAGCCGTTTCCCGGATGACCCCTAGACTGACCCCTGGATGTCAAAAAGGGGTGTTTTAGCCCTGCAGACCTAACTTTAGGCCCTTTTCAGGAGTCTAAGGGCCTTCAATGGTTACAAATCGACCCTGCAGCTAGTCTTAGGATATCTTGAAGTACAATAATTCATGTCGACTTTTAAGATCCCAGATTTTCACTCCACCCTATTGGTTATGGAGCTCAGATGAAGCCACGCTGGTGCTCGGTTGGAGCCCGGCTGGAGCTCCGTTATGGAGCTTTGGTTGAAGCCGCTCGTGTTCGGGTTGGAGCTCGGCAGGAGCTCGGTTATGGAGCTTTGCCTGGAGCCTCGCTGGAACCCTGAAGCGGACGCGTTTATTCGTAACGCTGGCTTCAGGTCGTGTATACGAGCCCGGCTGGAGCCCTCCTGCAGCCCGTGGCCGCCGCTTGGCCGCGTGCAACTCATATCTGCTGATTTACTCGGCGCCCGCCCTCGCGCCCGCCCTCGCGCCCGCCAAGCCCGCTGGAGGGAAGGCGACTGGCGTGTGGGTGGAGGGCGGCCAAGGTGATTGAAACAAAGTTGAGGGCAGCCGCGCGAGGGAAGGGGAAGGGGGGCTGAAGCACCCTCCGCCCCGCCACTCCCGGCCTCGCCTTGGCCCAGGAAGACCCTGCCCAGGTCGCTCGGCCCTAAATCAGTGTAGGGTGAGCTACTCCCAGCTCCCTCGGTCCCCCTTCTTCGAAGATCTGAACCCCCTCCGCCACTTGAACAACCCCCAGAGCCTGTAGGGGGCCTGGACAAGCTCGTGGGAGGGACCAGCGGCGGGCTAGGGCCGGCCAGGTCGAGGGTGCTGGGCGCTCGCTGCCGCTTTCGCTCTGTCTCTTTTCCTTTTTTTCATCTTTCCTTTTCCCCCTCTCCATTCTAAGTGTTATCCCCTCAGTTGGTAACCCCCCTTTCCCCCACCTCTCTTCTATGTGACGAAGGCGAGGGGGAAATCACTACGGACGAGAATAAACGAGTCAGAACGTTAGTACACGTTAGTACAACCCACCTTTTTTCGTATTTTTTTAAATCAAAGTATGTAGTATATTGTTATTACATCACTTATTTCGCTTGAGTTTTACCGTTAGTACGCGCTATTTCGCTCTCACGACAAGTTTACACCCTAAACCCTTATGCATTTTGTTGTACATAAACTTGCAGAATTTTATACAGCCATGAGTATGCACAAATTTTTATGCATAATTGTGTACAAAATATGCATAATTATGCACAAACTGTATATAGTTATGGCTGTATGAAATTCTGCAAGTTTTATGCACACCAAAGTGCATGAGGATTTAGTGTGTAGTACGCCACTTGTAAGGCCCCAGTGAGTACGCAAGTAATTTCCCCGTTGCTCTAAGGTTTGTGTAGACTTTACGGATAAAGCGCCTTGCACCACCGGTAATACGAGTTCACTCAGGCCGCACTGTGTCAGGTGAGCGAATAAATTCATACTGACGTCATCATTTGACATCTTGTTCACCTATTTTTGTGAGATGAGCGAAGAGCTTTCGTATACATCTCGTAACGCCCTTCTTGTACAATTGTGTTATTTTATTCGCTATCGCATACCTTCAGCAGGTGTGCAATATTTTCTTCACTTGAAATTCCAGTATGTACGTAAATGTTTATCTTGTGTTTTTCATTAATGCGAAATTAAACAAAAAGTTCTAAAAATACGCTTAATGTACACGGAAATATGCGGCGCTCTTTGGGCTTGGGCTGCTGCTGACCCAGCGGTGGCCAGGGCTAAACTTTAATCCCTCCTCTCCGGGAGTGCAGCCCCCCTGCCCCTCCCCCGCCCCTCTCCCATTTCCTCTCGTCTTGATTTTTCCGGCCGGTGGGAATAAGGATAATAACGCGTCCGTTGTTTGCGGCTGTTAAAAGTAACGTCGGTGAGCGTTAGCCTGCCCGGTGCTGGAGAGAGCGGCCGGCCGCTGGAGTGGCTAAGCTCCGCCGGAGGTTTTCACCGGCACGCCGCTGCAGTTGGACGCTCTGTACGAGGTGGGGCGGAAGGGGGGGAGGGGGTAGGAAGAGTCTGCACTCACAGGACATTTGACAGTAGTTTTCCTACCCGGCCGCCTTATCTATCACGCGCGAGACTACTCCGCTGGCCGGTGATTTGTTGTGGTGGGGTCCCGGTACCCTCCCGGGACAACTGGGCGGCGGTCGAGGGGGGTGTGGAGGGTGCCAAGCACCACGCCGCGTCGCCCTGGACACGTGGAAGGGGGTGGTCGGGGGTGGGCACGACTGTCGATATGCGCGCCACGCGTCCCCACGCCGCCCCACGCCAAGGCCGAAGGGAGCCTCTCTGGGGGGCAATCTGACCAATTTATGGCCCCGCTCCGTTGGTCCACTCGTCCCGCTGCGCTCTACTGCCCCCCCCCCTTCCCCCTCCCTTCCCCCCTCTTGCGAGTAACCCCTCTCCTAGCTCCCAAGCTCTCCCCAACCCCGACCTTGTGATCCGCCGTCACGCGGACCAGGCGCTGCAGCATCGCTCCAATCAGCAGCCGCCTGGAGAGGTTCCCTTAGAGCAGCGAGGCCCGCCACTGAGAAGGTTTGTTACTCCTGCTGAACACACTGGGGGGTGGGGGTCTGTCGGCTGGCGTGACGGATGGAGGGGCCAAGGCGTTGGGACGGGCGCAGGCCGGCCTGCCCGCGCAAAAGAGTTCCAAACCGTCCGGCCGTGCCTCTGTGTCGAGCTCGACCTAGGGCACGTGACCCATGCTGACGCCACAATTCCATGCAGACCTTTTAATGAGAAGCCGGTCCTCGCTTTTAAATTATTCAAACCGTCTTTTTGTCTTGTGTTTAGGAGGGGCTGCCCAGGGTTGGGTATCGATTGTTTCTTTCGAATGTACCAGGTACCAGCTTCAAAAGTAACACGAATGAATCTTAGTTACTCAACCTAACAAAATACATGTTTAAGTAAAAGTAAAAGCGATGGACTTTGAAATGACCGATATTGAGCGTGAATACTGTGGAAAAACGTTTTACAGATCAAATATCTAATTCTTTTTTAGGCCTACAATAAAAGTTGCAAGTTATTACTATCACTCTTAAAAAAAGTTATAGGCGCTTATATGCTGTTAAGTAATAAGTTATATGGGGCGCTGAAAAGTACTGACTGATTTATGTGTTTGTCTGACATGGTTGCCGCATTACTGTTCGCAGGTGGATAACGCGCGCGAGAACGTCACTGTCTCACACCTCACGTTCACGCCCAGCACCGAGGACAACGGCAAGGAGCTGACCTGCCGGGCGGAGAACCCCAACATCACGGGCCTGTTTGTGGACACGTCGTGGAGGCTGGATGTCGTCTGTGAGTATTCGAGCACGGAGGTGGGGCCAGCCAGGGTGGGCCGTGGAGGAAGCTGAGCAGGCGGTCGCTATCGGACGCACGGACGAGGAGTGCAAAGATAGCAGCACGACTGTTCCATTATTTTATTGTCTGCGTTGCCGCGGCGCATGGCGGGCGCAGCGCCGGCGCAGCACGAATATGCCATCATATCTGATTCGTCACGGTCCCTTACTCTTTCGGTTGCAGACGCCCCTATTGTGGAACTCCGCCTCGGCAGCTCCCTGAGCCGGGAGGACATCAAGGAAGGGGACGACGTCTACTTCGAGTGCATCGTCAAGGCCAACCCGCCCCTGCGGAAGCTCAACTGGCTGCACAATGTGAGTGCCGACCCCCAATCCCCAACGACAGCGACGGCGCAGCGACAGCGCCGGGCTATTTCCCCCTCCATATTTTTATTAGCCGCGCAACGTCTCCCAGCGGACCTGCGGGGCGGCCCGCGCCCACCGCGCCCGTGACTGATGATCGGCGCTGATGAAGTCCCCCTCCCCGACGACCCCTCTCCCCTCAGCCAGGTGGAAATGGGGGCCTTGTCTCCCGGCTGATGCCCGCGCCCACCGACAAATACTATGTATTAGCGCACTGAATTTTTACTGTCGGGGCCAGGAGGAAAGGGTCCCGGCCGCTCTTGTGACACAGTT